TCTTAACATATCAATCTTGCACTTTACGCTTTTAGCTATTGTTTTATGCTTTATTTATTTTTCATTTACTCGATTTGTCAACATACATTTACAAAACATATACATATAAATATATATATGGTTATGTGATTCATGCGTTTACTCTGTGGAGAGAAGGAATTTTTTTCCTAACCTAACCTCACCACACCTAACCTAACCTAACCAAACCTAACCTAATCTAACCTCACCTCGCAGATCCTTTTTTTTTAATAATGTTAAGCAGCGATAAATATGTTCAAGTAGAGTTTAAATTTAATTCCAATATCTTAGCATATCAATCTTGTACTTTCAGCTAAAACTGCTCTGGTTTTCCACGAAAGTGAAGACATGTCACACACACAAAATAACTGATGCAGTATCTTCTTATATATTACCCACCAAGTATAGTTTGTTACTACTATATTGTCTAGAAAAAACTGTTAAGCAAACTTATGGTTAAATATATAGTAAAGATATAAAATCTACTCGAACCCTAAACCATAAAAATTATACACTTCTTGCGTACACGTGTTACGACAACGATGTTGTCATCTTCAGCGCTAACAACAGACTGAGTCTATACTATATTGTCGTCGACTACCGTTCAAAAATACCATTGAAAATGCCAAGTTCAACACAACAAGGCTATATAGGCGTTCGATAATGAGTTCGGTAATTATTTTAACCTTAGTGTTTTTTTAATTTTTTTTTTTTAGGTAAAATGCACTCAATCGTAAACTTAAATACACCTAATTTCGTTTTTGCATCGACCCGATAATTTTTAAATTAATTTGTTCTACTCAAATGCCAATTTAAGGCGTAAAAATCCAGTACAACCAATAATTTCTCATATCCAATTAAATCGGTTCATTACCTTTTAACTGGATCAAGTTAATATTAAAAACCAGTAACTTATCTGAACTTGGGGGGAAAAAAACATTTTTTTTAATGTATTTAAAAAAAGTGACATTTTACTTCTTGCAAGTGTATTGGGGTTAACACTTTATGACATGCCCAGGTTCAAGGAGGCAATACCGGCGATGACCAGCCAAATGGCCCAACGTACCATATAATTAACGGCTATTACTGTTGGCTTGCTGTGTTCTAGTAGCTAGTCCTAAGATGGGATTTGATTAATCGTTTAATGGTTACCGGCCGTCGTCGGCCTATTTAATTTTTATGAACCGTTAAGTCTGGCTCAATGTACATGCACTTGTGTGTAAAGCACACGGACTGACACGCAAAAAATATACCTATTATACTATTATAACGATGAGCGATGATGATGACAAGCCGTGGAAAAACGGTTTTCATTACCTGTGTACAGGTAGGTACAGGTAAGTACGGCGTGTGGATGTTTAAAAGCTATAAAATAGCTCAGAGACCACCGCGGTACGATTCAGTCACGGTTCGTTTGGTAAAACAGTAACAATTATTATAAACCGTATAAAAAATAATGGTATTCTAGTTGCAATAATAATTGGAATAATCTTTGTTTTCATTCGTGCATGAAAGTCAATGTCAAATTTCATATTCGACTCTCGGTAAAAAACTGTATATGAATGCGTCTGGATACTGAAAACCTTAAAATTTAAAATTAGTGCTTCTACAAATACCTACATTTATTTTTTACCGAGAGATTTGTTGAAATAAAAAAAGAATCTATTTATTTTCTTCACGGAAAAACATTGAATCACGGATAATGTTATCTCTTATCACTTATCTCTTATCTTTTAGCTCTTATCACTTTTCTCGTATCTCTTATCGCGTGATAGTGTAACGCGTAATTGCATGTCATAAAGCCCAACAACATATCCATATTAAAAATATATATGTAGCACTAATTTTAAGTTTTAAGGTGTTGTATGACAACAAAACCTAAAAACATTATCATATTTCTTTAGCTTAAAATTCCATGTTTTTTAATTTTATTTCGAGTTGTAATAAAATATAAGGTTTCATAATAAAATAATTACAAAGTTTAACGTTTAATACGTGTCTTTGAGAAATCAGGTAAGGTTAAAAAGTTCATTCATTTTTGCAGACGAGTTTTATTCATTTGTTTGTATTTATTATGTTCTCTGGCAATGGGTGAAGGGGGGGGTTTGGCTTTGGACTACTTTTGATTTTTGTGGGAAACGCCAACGCTAGTTAAGTTATCATCATCTCTCTTAGTATTATTATTATTATTATTATTATGCTGCTCGGCGCTATATTATATCCATTTAGCTCGTGATGAGTTGTCCTAAAAAAAACCTTTTAAGGCCCAGCCAGGTCACGTTTGTGTCGTGACTTTTGCACCTGGCAGTTATGGCTGCAAAAACTACCAAAGTAACGTTACTTCGGTCAAGTCGGTAAAGTGTGTACCTATGTGTTATTATTTTCAACAAACTCTTCCCGAATTTCTCTAATATTAAGTATAATACTTAATAATATATTTTGTAGGCGGCGGAATGGAAACGGTGCACCGGACCTTGAACCAGTTTGGCCGAAGAGAGAGGTTAATATAGTAATAATAACAACAACAACAATAATAATTATTGTAATGGTAATAATAATGTTACAAGTAGAAGAGTTGAAAATCGCCTCAAGACACGATTATCATAATAGAAAAATGTCATAATTTTTATTATTAGACTATCATAGGTACATATGTATACCTATATCATTATAGTATACCTACACAAACATCATTAGTATATTTTACTATTGACCGTTAATTATTGCACTTTTAACGAGACGGATGTGCTTTACCGTGCACGGATGATCACTACCTATTAATATTACTGTCATATTTTCTGTATAATAATATATTATATCTTATTCAATAACGCTGTTTGGAATATTGTCGTTGAATTTTTTTTCATTTTATTTTTGAACAATTATTATTATTAATGACTGTGTATCAATTGTTTACCAGGACGGGTTTACAATAAATTACCATCCTTGGTAATGATTTTTTCCTCTTAACCCGGTGCACCTTCAACGATAATATTTGGCTAACACTTTGGGTCAATGTCACGCTGTGCAAAGAAAAAATGTAAGAAAAAAAAATGTGTTAAAAATATCTTTATATTATCTTTGAATTTTTCTACCGACACAAAGTCGGCGTACGCCTTTATCGACTGCTATTGTCGGCAATGTAAAAGAAAGTCGAAAAAAAAATTCTATTATTCTTCATCGAATCGTTCAGTGTGGTGTGTACACATTATGTCATAGCTAATGTATACAATATGACGTCTAAAAACACTTAAACAATTTTACAGTAGCAAACCGGCCTAAGAATGATAGCTGTACAGCAGTAAAAGAAAACGAAATGAACTGATTAAAAAAAATCTTGTATGAAAAATAAAATGATAAAATATTGGATATGAAAAAAAAAAAATTATAATAAACAAAACATAGACTTTTAATGTAACCAATATTGCCTAGAGGACAATTCAACAATTGCTTATTAATACTTTGGCAAAATTTGGCCCACTAAACAGTCCATATTTTTTCATGTTTTATTTATTTTTCATTTACTCGATTTGTCGACATACATTTAAAACATTTACATATAAATATACATGCATGGTTATTTGATTCATACGTTTGCCCTGTGGAGAGAAGGACTTTTTTTCCTAACCAAACCAAACCTCACCTAACCTAACCAAACCTAACCTAATAAATATTTTCAATCAGAGTTTAAATTAAAAAACACTATATAATTTAAATACTCAATATGTTTTTTAACTTTCATTTTTTAAACTTTATAATTTTTAACGTTTTTAAAATTAAATTTTATGTATGTTTTTCATTATAAAATATTTCTCTTTTAAAAAAAACTAATACATTTTCTCCGAGGATAAAACTGTCAGTTTATAGCTAACTAGTGTAAAATTAGTATCATTTATATTTCGGTCTACTTTATAATACCATATATATTTCAACAGTTCTATTGAAATCAACAAAGAGTAATGAATATTTATGATGGAAATTATATACTAAATATATTTTGCTCTACTATACAATATACTTTAGTTAAATACACTTTCCCCGTTTAATTTCGCATCGTCGTCCGAAAGACTTGGATGTTTATTCTAATTATTAAGCGGCTTATTGTTATTCGGCTGTGTTCACATTTCCATAACATTACAGACCGGACTTGTCTATATACAAAAATGTATAAAAAAAAAATAAAAAAAGGTAAAGATTAGCGGTTTGAAAATAAACAAAATATGAGATTCCTGACCGATATGAGTTATGATAAATAGTTTTTTTATTATTTATTAGAAAAGTGAAGACGGTTGTACCAAAAAAAAAAACAAACAGACAATGGCCGTGTGAATTCGAGGGGGGTCAACCGCAGCAGCCCCATTGAAATGTATCATTACTTTCTTTGCCGACATTTGAGTGTAACATGTTTCACGGATAAAAGAAACACAATGTCTTATCCTCTGGCTGCAGTAAATCTGCAGTATTGTATGAAAATGTACGATGGCGTCGACTTTCTTCGGTAACGTTTGACAATTAGATAGGTATTTATTTTCGAAACGTACTTGCATTGGGAAAACATAAAATTACAATATAAATGTCTATTGTTATTTGCAGTCAGGTCTGCCTGGGCCGGTGTAGGGCGTTTTATATATTATTATTCTGTCTTGGACGAATTAGCTGGAGACTTTAACGCAGCAAAAATATTTGTTTGGACCATATTATATTGTCCGAACACGGTTTGTCTGTGGTAATGTGTTAATTATTATCAATGCAAACGTACAAAACTGGAACCGAGTAATTAGCGCACATTACCGTAACCGTCCAGAGTGTTATCCGGTGAAATTCGCCATCGTTTGTACATGTAATGTACCTAATGAATTCATTGGCAGTAATACACGTAGGCCTAAATGGACCAATTCTTTTGATTTCTTGTCGGCCCTTTTAGACCTAAGGTACGTTCGATTGGACTTAGTAATTGATCATAGTATAAGGGTGTGACTTACCGATCAATAACGCCGAAAAGTGAAGCAATATGAAACCGGATCTGGTTAATTTTTTCAAAACGTTTATATCCATGTTGATTGTATACTGTTGTTTGCACTATTCTTCAGACGTACCGACTTCTGGTGAAAAACAAAATATACAATTATTGGCTTTATTACTTATTATTGTTGTTATGGTTGCAGCTGTTAGACGAGTCGGATGAGAACAACCTGTCCAACCTAGCTGTCTCATACACACACACACACACATCATATTAAAGCTGAGCTGTCCATGATGTTAACGGTGAACACTACTATATAAGTGTTAGCGGTAAGGTTAGCTGTTAAGAACGGCTTCGGTATAGAAATTTAAACAGCGCGTGCCAATAAAATGTAGAACTGTGGTCGAGAAAGGTGATGTCTGTGATCAAGCTGTTGTTTTTACATTAGGTGTAGATAGTATTAATTGCCATGTGAGCAAATTTTTACATTTATGTTTAGCAAGATTACTAGTTTATCGGTAAAAATTCGTCCAGAAAATAACTGTCGCAGTTGGCCATCAGTGGAGGACTTTTTATTTAGTAAAAATAAGAACATATTAACTACCCATACAAATATGTTTATATTATAAAATTTAATGAACGTCACTCGTGATCGAATAATTTTGTTTGTTTATGGGAAATTATATTCTACTTAAATTTATGTTTATAAAAATGTAATATAATCCTGAAGTAATACTATTATCAACGGTATTATAACACCTAATAACGATTATAAAGTATACACATTTTTTTTTAATTACCAATAAAGTTTTGTATCGCGTTCACGGTTGGTAATATTATTATACTTAGCATTTCCTATAAATTCCTTACTATCGTACTACGCGTACGCTTCTTATTAGAAAAAATGAAAATATTTTTTCGCTACACAACACTTGTACTTTTTTTTATTAATATTTAATTTATAATTCTGATAAAACCTAATTATCGCGTTACGAATGGCGGGAGAGCATAATATTTTAATTTTTTTTAATTTTACATAATACATATTATTATTATATAACCTCCTGCACTTTAATCCATACAATAAGCACACAATACTACACGGATGACTTTTTAAACAGCGCGTTGTCACTCGTTTGATTACAGAGATCTAGCCGACGCCGTTGGAGACCGCGTTTGGAGAAATCTCAACATGATGATAATAATATGTGAGGTTAGGTAAGGTTTGGTTAGGTTAGGTTGGGTTTGGTTGGGTAAGGTTTGGTTAGGTTAGGTAAGGTTTGGTTAGGTTAGGTTGGGTAAGGTTTGGTTAGGTTAGGTTAGGTTAGGTTAGGTTATAATAACATGTGAGGTATAAAACTAAAGGATGGCTGTGATGGAAAAATTCACAAGTTCAAGAGTCCAACAATTATTGTACCCTGACCGTGTTTTTGACTTTTTGTTCCAAGTTTCCAACGGAGTAAAACAATATTTTGGGGGGGGACACGCACTCATCCCCCTCGGGTTTAGGCACTGTCTTTTCGCGTCTGGGCCTTATCTCTCTGTGTGTTGGTTGGCTGGCTGATTTCTACTGCTTAGTATCTACCGTCTGCCCCAATGACATTGGATAACGTCATCGATTACACGACGTGGGCGCGTTTGTTTATCAAGCTTAAGGGCTGGCCGTCATCGTCTTAGCCGAAGGTCACAGTGAAAGCGACACTTTCTCCTGTGTTCTCCGGTCAAACGTATCCGGATGAACCGCTACCGTTACGCAACCGGTGCATTGACTTTGCCAGACAAAACGCCGGCTCGTGCCAAGCCCTTGTACCGAAGGGGTGTAGTGCAAGTCTCTAGTTGGGGGGCAGGTGTTGGGGGTAGGTAAACACTTCACCCCTAAAAGGTCTTGTGGTCTTACCCCAGTGCGATGATGGCCGGTCCGTGGTCGAGCACTGCTAGTGCCATGGCGTCGATGATGGCTGATGATAACCGAGATGTGCGCCAGTCGTTTAATAGTATTGAGATTAACCGGTGTTCTTTTTTTTTTTTCGATCCAAACGGCACCGAAAATGATCTCGCGACGATGATGATTTGACACGCACAACGCGATCGATAGATCGTAGATCGATTAAGACTTAGGACGTTCCGTTTGAGCAGTTATAGAGCGAAGCGCACGTCGGTGTGGACACTACTGGAGAGCAGAAACCGCGGCGGTAATGCCCCCGGCCTTCGACCAGACCGGTATGCCTCCCACCGTTGGTTCTTGTACCTGGGCCCGCTTGTATGTGTTATTTCCCACCCGAAGACGGTCGCCGGTGTATGGTAGTATAATATAATATAATACGGCTCTTCTTTCACCTACTTTCCTCTGTGCGCTTTCTACGGGCCGCGTGTGCTCCGCCGGTTGAGTCAACAAAAGATTCACAGAAAAATTAACAAACAACCGATTTATTCTATCGGTTTATAATCCTTTCGGACGTCCAAACACGTCCCAACGTGATCGGATTATGACTTAAGACCCGAGTGACCAGAGACGGACAAGACGGGCAAGTCTACTCTACACTGCTGTCCAGGGAATTTACAAAGTAACGGAAAGTTGTTATTGAACATACCCAAAGCGAGCGAAGGCCCAAATAAATACATATTTATGTAATATTATGAAGCACGGATTGATTAAACTGGTAGCAACACCTTTGCAAGAAAAGTATTAAGTCAGTGCTACTATCCTGTATGACGGTACGCACTTTAGCACTGCTAAAGCGGAATGTTTAGTCTTAGAAAATGGAATTTTTTTTTTTTGATACCTTGATAGTCTAGAATAAATTTAGAAAGAAGAAGAAAATATTTCAATGACTCATGTTGTCAGGTCGTTGGGAACCTTTGGTTTGGTGGAAAAATTTACTGGGCGGACTAGATGAATTACAATCTCAAGATTCGATTTAAATTCCCAACTCACTCCTGGACCCAGTAGCCCATTCCGCCATTGCAAAGAACTTGACAGATAGTGAATAGTCTTATATATATATATAACCTAACCTAACCTAACCTCACCGCACTGGAAGTGATTAACACATCCAATACTAGTTGCACGATATGCTGAAAAATTTAAGTTGCATGTCGATTGGAAGGTTAATTGACAGTCAATATTGAAATTTAGTTCAATGTCTAATGTAGTAGCTGCAGTAATTATGTATGCGCATAGTTTAATATTAAAAATAATATAATATTATAATAATCAATTGAGCAATCGGGTTCAACGGGTTGTGTCAGCAAACGAGTCATAAGAATAGCAGTTGTGTTTATCACAAACAAACCACAATCAGGAAGCTTAAAGGTCGCAACAAGCAAAATAAATTTCTGGATTTACAACAGCAGGCTCATTAGTCACTTGGTCATATAGAAGCACTGTTCTTACATCAGATTTAAGATCATTAGCTGTAGATAATGATGATCTGAATGTTGACCAACACTAGCACTAATAATGTTGAGATATATAAATATATATCATACTCATTGTAGAGCGTTCGATATTTTAGGGTGTGTCGATACTTTCTACCTCCCTCAAAGCATTGTATTGTTCTTGAGATTGTTGGAGTGTGAGTAACATGTATTCTTTGTTTGGATAAAGAGAGAGCAATGATAATATTAATTTGCTATAGTGGCGCATCCTTCGCACGATTTTACTGTTTGGTCTTTAAAAAAAAAACCTTTGGGGATATAATTATTACAGTTTTGCATAATTGCCACGCTATAGAGACAATGATTTATTAAATATATTATGAGTTGAAGTATGGTTTTCTCTTGACCATTATAAAATATAAAAAACACATTGGCACTGAGAAGTGCCTAACTGCAACTATATGCAGTTTGCAATTTTTACCACAAGTGTGTCGCACTTAAGTGTGTTTTAGTGACGTGGACACTTGTATTATGAGGTAAATAGGTACGTTACGCGTTCGCGTGGATAATATATAATAATAATAACAATAATAATAGTCAAATGAGCTGTTGTCGATAATAACGGGGTTCTTGCGTTTGTTGTTGTTAAAAAAAAAAAATACTTCATATTCAATTTTCACACGTGGACAATGATGTGGATGTGTGATAAACGCAGGAACGACACAAACATTGTACTTAAATAAGTGAAAGGTTTTTTTTCCTATTAAATTGAAAAACTTTGAGCGTTACAAATCGTTATGTTTTTCCATTGTGTGTATACTTGAGAATATTACAGTTGAAATTTACAAAACAAAATTGCTTAAAAAAAAAAATCACAAAAAGTTACATACAGCATACATTTATATGGTACTCGGTACTTACACATTTCAGTCGTGTACGGTATTATCTGTTAGTGAAAATTATTATTCACGATTAAGTTATTTGTAGAAGAAAAAAAAATCAACCTAAGCAACAGACCTTTCCTTTCACGGGGCACGTGATAACGCTTTCTACTCCTACATTAAGACAGTAATATGCTAATGCATATATGATACAATAATTTTAACTTTGACCCGACTATAATAATACAGTTGGAAGAGTACTTTTTTTTTTGTTGACAATTTACCGATATATTTTTTGAGGAATTTAAAAAAACTAATAGTTACAATAGAACTTTGTTGTACACACATTTTAGACGTATGCTAGATTAATTGAGTTTGTATATTTTGTACAAATAATTTTTTTAAGAAAAGTTGTCTAGTCTTAGTTGTCAGTAATGGTGTAGTCTTAATTAAAGAAGTTTAGTTTTTTATTTTTATTTTTAGGAAAAGAATATTACCTAAAATGTTAAGAACGAATAGCTGTTTTTATCGAAACTAGTAGTTGGTATTTAAATGTCAGTTAATAAAAATATAATACTATCCTAACCGTAACGTGACTTCTTTTCATATTTAAGTTGCATTGTTTGAAAACATAGTTATCCATTTCTAAGTGCATTATTTAGTATAGATCCTCATTAATATGTAAAAGGTGAAAGTATATGTGCTTTTATGTTGTCGTCGTCAGTAAATTACAATTAACGCGTTAATTGTAGTCATTTTTGTTGTAAAGTTAAAAAAAAATGTGTGATTTAAATATTGCAGGGATTAGTCATGCTTGAGATAAAGACAATTGGACTGAAGACTTTGCGAAGATCTGTGGCGGTAAAGCTTTAAAGCTATTCAACTATTTCTGGGTACTTTATGGTAATAGTTCTTAATAAATAAGTTTCCGTCTGTTATACAATATTGAAGAAACTCTCAACCTTCCTAATGGTAAAGGAGGCATCATACAAAGAATTGTTAAACATGTCCCATTCCTGTTATGTATACAATATACATGCGGAAATGTGTAGATTGTTTTAAACGAGGAAGAAAGTTTTTTTAATTTTTTTATCACGTATGAGGTCTCAATTGCAATATAATACATATGTATATATTTGCTGTCAATACAATAGTTAATTATAGAAGATCACGTGGAATGAATTTTAAAAGACATGTATGTATATAAACACGACCAAATTCATATAATAGATTTTTTTTAATACTGTTTCAACTCTCTAAATTTTAGTTTTATTTTATAAAAATAACTTCAATTGCAAACAAACAAATTTACAGAGTATAGATGAGATGATAAGACAACATTTACTATAGCACTATACTTCACATATTAAGATTTTCACATTACCAAGAACAGGTAGATCCTATTTTTAAAATTTTTTTCTAATTTTTCGCTTTAAACTTTGGACCTAATGCCTGGGATATATGTGGAGCTCAAATTTCTGTTTTAACCATTTTGTATGAACACTTTTAAACAGTTTTTGCCTTATAATTTTGCTTACCATATTGCGGTAGGTACTTTCTTTTTTTCACACAAATATTATTGAACCGGTGTAATAAAAATTAAGAGTAAAATTTGATTGATAAACTTATTAACGACTAGTTTGTGAAAGAAATGATCGTTTTTGTAAGTTTTTATGCATGTTGTGTACACACATTGGTGTATATTAAATGTGTCTAGTGCCGACTTTTTTTATTTCAGTCTAATAGCTTTTTATCAGCGATAATTATTATTATTTATATAACCTGATTTTTCTAATACACAACACTTGTACTTGCAGCGAGAGTAGGCAGTACAATAAAGAACCGGTCAAACGTGTTGTGTGATTAAAATTGAAAGTAAAACAGTTATTATTAATAAAAAAAAAAAACGAAATAATATTTTATTATTTTAATCTCTTGAACTTGTCGTTAGGTTAATTAAATTTAACGCTTAAACCAAGGTCAGAGTTTGTTGATAGTATCGAGTAAAATATGGCGAAAACAAAATAAAATAATAATAATAAAAAAATAGATGTGATGATAATAAAAACGTAATCGAATTTGAAATTCAGCCAATGTACTTCTTACATGTTGTATTTTTATTCTACTCAACTGTGACTTGTGAATTACAATTAATCTAACTTGGTGAAATTAAAGACGGTTAGGAATGTTTTTTTTTTGTTGTTGTTATGTACAAACCACATTCAAAACAATATAACTTCAAAATAGTAAAATGTTAAACGCCATGTAAATAGTTAGAATATGATTAAAATCAAAGCAGGTTCAAACACTAACAGTTTGTAAAAGAATATTAAAAAAATTACTTACTAACTTACTCTTCAAGCTACACAAAAGGACGCTGCCCAACTTTCAACTAGTTAGTTGCAAAAACAACCTATTTTACTATCATGTAAATTAATGTTATTGTTGCCTGATTTGTTTTCTAAGAACAACAGCTACTGTTATTGAAGTAAATTTTTTAAAAAACATTTCTGGTTACATATATTTATTTTTTAATTATTTTCTTCGATACATGTGTCTTCCCAATTCTGTACTTTTCGACCCATATAAACAACAATGTGGCTTGCCTTAGTAAGTTCATACTTATGTCAAAATCCAATAGCTTTTAACTGAACATCTTATCATATTATAATTTATTTTTCAAAACTGTCTACATTAGTGGCATCCTGATAGCATCCTTCCCTCCCCTAAATTTTTCATACATTTATCTCTTTCTGATATTTTTTTCTTTCAGAAATCCGAGCATCCAAATATGGCCATTGCGCGCAACGTTTGTTTATTTGTGATAAAAAAGTGGAACAAAAAATAAATTATTTAAAATAATTAGACATTCTAATATACCTTAAAATACTTCAGGCTTAAAATTATTGCTAAATTTATTTTAACATGGATATGTTATTGGGCTAGACACATAAAGTTTCATGTCACCATTATCGCGTTACACTTTCAAGTGATAAGAGATATGAGAAAAGTGATAAGAGCTCAGTGATAACAGATAAGTGATATGAGATACATTATCCTGATAGCATCCTCCTCCTAAATTTTACACACATTTATCCCTTTCTGCTTTTATAATATTTTAAACAACTTTTAGTCTTGGTTGATATTTTTTTCTTTCAGAAAACCGAGCATTCAAATACGGTAATGGCCATTGCGCAACGTCTTAATCCGTCACGTTAAGTTGGGTTTTCGAGGAGACGTTTATAATGTCTTCTTGGCCGTCGCTTTACCGGCATTGTCTTCACGTCGAACTCGGGTCTATTCATTGTTGTTGTTATTTGTATTATTATTGTTATTACAACGACGATATTATTAGTGTCCATTATCGGTTTCGTCACAAAACCGAAAGCATATAATTAATAATTAACGTTTGCGGTGTGGGAAATTGTTGTTGGGCGAACCCAGTGTGTGTTGAGAAACTGTCAAATGCCATATGTGTAAGGTGATAAAATATCACATTTGGAAAAAACCGTCGAGCCAGTTCATTGAGAAAAAAATAAAAAGAATCGCCTTATCCGTATAATATGAAGGAAAAAAAGGTGCTGATAACGTCTTGGGGGTCAAACGTCTAGGTATTGACATAACCACCGTACAATGATCATTTTACACAGTCCAATACGGCTACTCAGGCAGGTTAAGACGTATGGATTTTTGTCAAGATGAGCTACACGATCGACACGAACTTGGGACCCGGCCAAATACCGGAAGACTTCCTCTCAGAGACTTCCGACTTCCTGTCCGCGCTGTTCGATCGCCCCAAAAAGGTAACGCGGTACAATATTATAGTATTTTGCCTGATACAGTGTGAACATTTTACCATGAACCACTCAACGGCTCTTTTAAACTCTCATAACTTTAAAAACTTGAAAAAACCCTATCATTTGTGCTCTATAGTTTGAGTCTAAATGAATAATAAACAAGTGTTTGTCGAGTTAGGTAACTATTTTTTCTCATTTTAGTGCATTTTGTGATGAGTGGACTTAAATATTTTTCAATTTACAACTAAATAGTGTAACAAGAGTTATGTCATTTGTTATACTGGCCATTTGTTTAGTGTGATAAAAGGGTTATGTCTATTTTCCCGCCACATTACATTATGATATCAAGAGTGTTGTAAAATATTATTATTAAAACGACTTAACCCTTTTATTAAAAAAAAAAAAAATGAGTGAATTCAACTCAATACGATTTAAGTCAATTTTTTTTTTTTAAACTTATAACAGCTACTTTGTTAGTAATTTTTATAGATTCTAATTTATACAGGAAAGTACAAAACAAGCTGTTTTATTATCCTAATAGAAAAATATTTATCTTATCCTAATCCTACCCGATTTTACATGTCATTCTTCTAAACCTTATTTTCCGTTTTCCTGAAAAGTAATCATAGTTGTTGACTTAATCACTTTTTCACGGGCACCCACGACTGTTTGACTTTTGATTATTACACCCTGTAAACTATTGAGTGGTTCGCGATAAAGGGATCACTCTGTATATATATATATATATATATATATATATATAGTTTAATTAGATATTCTGTCCGTCTTGTAACCGATTAACAAGCATATCACGCTTTCACCTTCTATAACGCGCCTTTGTACGTTTTGGGCGTTGACAATGATTTTCAAGTAGACCACGTGGGTTTTTTTTCTCCTAAGTACAGCATATTATTATTATTATTATTATACACAGTAAGTGCAAATTACCTGGCAAAGACAAAACCGTCTTGCGTTACCTTCGGACAGCCCTATACGGGTTTCCGCGTTTTAAGACACGGATTTGCTTCCCCCTTCCCTTTATTCATTAAAAAAAAAAAAAAAAATCAAATATAATATATAATTTCTATAATCGAAACCGCTGTAATATGTATATGAAATATGATTGTAATATTTTTGTAACGCCATTTCGTTATGATACTGATTTAACTTGTTCATTGTGATATTGTTAACTTGCCATGTTAATCTTGCAATAATTGTAATTGAACAGCTCTCTCGCTCTTAGCTTTTGCCGAGTAACATAATATTTAAAAAAAACTAGTATTTTCAAGGAAAACGTCGGTGTTAAGTTTTTTACAAATTTTTTTGTAAATATTGCTTTTAGCAACATTTTCAAATTTATACGAAATCACTTCGCCAAGGCCTACCTAACCTAACCGTAAGACACTTCCGGTTTGGTACAATCGACGGATCCATATAGTATAGGTAATCCGTTTATTTGTGATAAAAATGTGGAATAAAAAAAAAATTATTTAAAATAATTAGACATTCGAACAAAATATGTATACTAATTGATTAAATAAAAGATAGAATTTTATATAACAAATTATGTTATTGCTCACTTGGGCAATTATTTTGTTTGGAAAATCATAAAACATGGTGGAGATTAAGGGGAGGGGAGGGGGCTTGGGATTCTAAATACCTCGAAATACTTAAGACTTAAAATGAGTGCTACATTTATTTTAACGTGGATATTATGTTATTGGGCTGGATACATGGAATTTCATGTAACCATTTTCGCGTTACACATTCACGTGATACGAGATATGAGAAAAGTGATAAGAGTTGAGTGATAAGAGATAAGTGATAACAGATAAGAGATAAGTAGTAAGATATAAATAGATTCTCTTTTTATTTCAACAGCTAATTTTAAATTTTAAAGTTTTTAGCCGAATTTTTTTGTGTCAAAAGGTCTGTGAGTAATCTTTAACTTGGGCCTTGGAAAAAAAAAACGTTTGTAATTCATTTTTAATATATCATTATGATTGTGTACTAATACATAGGTATATTATACTAAATACTGGTTACTATTCAAATTAAGACACGTTTTTGGATATTAAAAAATGATTTCTTTGCAACTAAATAGGTGTTACACATAATATTATTATTAATTATTGATCAATTTCTTGTCGGAAGGTCATCATGGGACAATTGCGCAGCGGACAGAGGTTTGATTTTTCCGGTTCGGATGCCCCTTGTGCAGTCATGCACATAACTCGAGGCTCCTTAAAGCCGGGCACGGTGGCAGAAGAAGCCGTCAAGTACTATGTGGCTGCCATAAGCGAATATTTCCAAAAAAACCTCGGCTTAGACAGTACTAGGTAAGATTGATGTATAATATAGGGCAACGAGAAAATAATATAAAAAAAATGTGTTAAAATAAAACGGTGAATGTAATTCTCCTTTCTAAATTACTAAAAAAAAACATGTTCGTTAATATAATATTATTATTCGGCTTAATTTGTCGGAAAACTAGATTAGATTCTAAAAATATTAATGTACTAGATTAATAGAGTCGATGATTTAGTCGCCTACTTTCGCTAATAAAACAATGCAATAAAAAAAAAATGCAAAGAATATTTAAAAAAAAACGCAATTAAATAAATGTCTTAAAATTCTGTAGAAAATAAATTTTTTTATTGTCACTATTGAATATTAAACCAATGTGGTTTTTATGGGTTGGGATTTTTAAAAAGGAAATTTTTTTTTTTTAAAAGAGAACTGGAAAAATAGATTGTTTTAATTCAAGTAATTATGTAAAAAAAAAAATTTGTTCAACATTATTGATTTATTTATCTGGTTTTGTAATCATTTGTTTTTCAAAACATTTTCAACAACACGTTTCGTTTGAATACATATTTACAAATTGTATTTTTATGACTAACTAAAATTATGTTTATTTTTTTGTAAAATTTGGAATTTTTGGGGTCACAACTTAAGTGTATTTTTTTTCGGTTTCATTTTCAATCTATTCAATTTGCTTGTTTACAATTTCCGCATAAATTGGAAATCTTACAATCTTATGTGGAAACATGTTTTGAGAATAATAGTAAAAAACTGAAAGGATTTTTTCTCACATAAAACCAGAACTTTTTAATGGCCAATAAGTGAATGTAACTTGGAAATCGTTTTATAGCCAAACCACAGCTACGCATTAAGTAAATTAGTACAATTAATTTGTACATAAATAAAAATATATACACTATATTGCGCTGCAAATAATAATATGAATTATTTTATATTATGTGTAATGTAGGTTTTTATAGATTTTTTAAACTTATATTTGCTAGTATTTTGGGTTGAACATATTATGTTTTTTCCCTAACCCCAATCTGTGGTTTTGAGGAGAATAAAAAGGACAAACATTTCATACAAATTTTTGACTTGATTTATTTCCAAGTATTTTTGCTGTTAACCTTATATAGCCTTTATTTAAGTGATTTTATGCTTTACAGTTTAACATTACTTAAACGAAGTTCTGTTTTTAAAATTATTCACATTTTTGTATTTTGTACAAATAATTTTCTAGTTACAAAATAAATAATCGTTTTTTTTAGCACTCGCTGAAAGAATTTTTTTTTTTAAATAAACTAAAATCAGTTTAATAAATATTTTTTTTTGTTTTCCAAACAAACATCACATTACTCAAAATTTGCTGGAAATCAACGATCGTTTAATATATTGAAAAGTTTGCATATTTATTGCCTATCTTTTGCGCCTCAGTAAAAAACTTTTCCTCGTTCGCTTTAAATGATTTTATATGTTTTTTTTTGTTTTTTTTTTTCATTTAGAGTAATGATATTCTATCACGAACACGATTTGGCCATGATGGGCAACGCTGGTAAGACATTGAAATGCTTCTGGGACGGAATAGGACCGTTTCCCACCACCAAATGAACACACCTGATAATAATAATATCATATTAATATCACTGTTGCCTTTTTCGTATAGGTGTGTAATTAACGTGTGTAGGTACTCGAATAGTAAATAAATAATAAAAAAAAACACAACCTTTTATTTTTTTTTATATTGTACCGATTTTTATATTGTATATTTCGTATTCGTTCTATTTGGTACAAAATTACAGACGACCTAAACACAGTAATAATACATAAATGTGATGATTATATAACCGTGTATTACTTGTGAATTATACAACACTGACAAAAACGATAGATTGTTTTTAAATTTTAGATATATTATAATCAAGCCCGGCTCGTTTGAAAAAAAAAAAAAAACAAGAAATACACCTTAAAACAAATGAGTACACATGTTGAAATACATTTAATATATATATGAATAATAATTATTATAGCTAGGGCGTGTGATGTCAACAAAAAAGACGGTAACAATAAACTAGGGCTCGAGAAAGATATATTTTGTCACAATATTGTAAATGGTAAACACAATAGTATGTGATATACTTATATTTGTATATATAGTACATAATATATATATATATATATATATATATATATATATATATATATACTATTATGTATACATACATAATATATATACTTATACATGTAAACGTAGGAAGAGACGTAGGTATATTATTATATGTACACGTTTAATAATAATATTTTTTAAATTAATATTATAGTAATAATATATTAATATATAATATTATTATTGTTAGTTTTTTTTTTTTAAAATTAGATTATTTTTTATGTATAAAAAAAAGTAAATAGGAATTTGGACAAAAATTTGGGGACCCTGAATTACCAAGCTTATATAAAATAGACAGTCGATAGATAATAAAATGTGGTTTTTTTTCAGAAAGAAAGAAAGAAAGAAATAGAAATAGAAATACAACGAGTAAAGAAAGGTACAATAATAATAATAATAATATTAACCTAACCAATACAATATACATATACCTATATCAACGTAGAAAGAGTATGGCGGGAAAATGTATAGTAGGGGATGGTGGTGGGGGGTGGGTTTTTTTTTTTGGGATAAGGGTGTTAAGATTTGTACAAACATTTGGCGAAAAATTGACTAGTCGTTAAAAAATATATAAACGAATACACACTAATAATAATAATTAATTATCTTAAATAATATATAATCATCATAATAGTAGTAATAATAATAATAATAATACTAACAATAATTATAATAATTTTAATAATATATTATATTAACATATATATATATATATATATATAATAATACACAACTTAGTAGTTTCATATTATTATATTAAAAAGAAAGGTAACATCGTTTTTTTTTTCTCCATGCAAGTGTTTCCTAAAACGATCAACAAAAAACACTTTCGGTAAAGAAATGCAAGTGTGAATTGACCAACAAAAAAAACCGGTACAAATTCATTAATCAAACACCAGCTGACAATATATAGCTGTTACTGTACACAATAAATGATAATATTATATTTTATAAACAATGATATAATAATATATTGGGGAAAACGTTTTTCAAGACAAACAAGTAACATATTATTATTATGCTTATGAATGATATTCAACACAGTAAGGTCAGGTGGTCAACAGTGTGTTATAACTTATATTATATACTGAGGAGAAACGGTTAAGAAAATAAAACAAAAAAAAATTCGATTAATACTATTGGAAGGCCGAGATCTTAATAAATAAAAAAAGAAAAAAGGGGGGAGGGTTATTTTTATATAGCGGTTTAGCAACCAAAAGAGAAGTAATTATTTAGTATTTAATATACTTGTTACAAACCAAGTCGTCCAAGTGTAAACAACGCAGCTAAAAGCAAATGTGTGGTGTACAAAAACCATGTTTTTCTTTTATACAAAGCGAAGAAAATTATAATACTGTGTGGCTAAATCGATAAGAATATTGTCTCAGACCAGGAAAAAAAAACTGTCATGTTATAGTGATTTTTTTATGGTACTGGTTGGGTTGAGATTTTCAAGGGATACAGATTTTTTTGTATGAAGATGATAATATTAAGCTCAAAAAAAAAAAAAATTCTAGACTATTAATTTATATATCTTTTTTTCAAATTTAATCGACCGTAACGTTTATTTTTTAGTGTATTTTTTATATTTAATAATATATTTTGATTGATAATAATATTATAACAACATCTATAAACCAGAACGATAATGGATATTATTAAAAAACAAATCAAAATCAAATCGAGAGAACACTGCGCTTATACATAAAGGATAAAACAAAACATTTTCTCACTCACTCTTTCTCAAAACTATAATACTTAATTAATAATACGTTACTTAAATGTATGATAATTTTTAACAACGAAATTACATATATATTATATATATATATATATATAAAGTGATTTAATATTTTATTCGTGTAATGTTTTTTTTTTTTTTCATATTATATTATGCGCATATCGATCATCATCATGATATTATATAACACGTACTCTACAATGTAAATGAGATTAACGAATATACCACCGCTTTTTTAACGATCCTTTTTTCGGGCGAGTATAAAATAAAAAGATGAAAATTATATAGGACTTATATAATGTTTTTTTTTTTTTTGTTATCAAGTTTAGACAGAGAAAAAAAGATGGTTTTTTTTTATTTTTATTGTTTTCACACGTACAAACACATATAGAAACACAAACACGCAAACACAAACGATTATAACTTTTTCAGGGTCGAGGGGGTTGCTTGTGTCGGAGGCTTGGGGGTGTGGGAGAGGGTGGCATTATTTGAAGTCCAACGAGACTCTCCACAAAAGGGGGTTGTCGTTGGTCGTGCCGTGGACTCGTCGTTCATTTGGTCTTCCACCAGTAGTTGACTTTTTCGCCCAGTTTGCGACACCAGCCGACCAGTTTGCGTCACATCGCCGCCACCGAGTCTTCGTCGCCTTCTTCCAGTGTCACGTGGAACCGGATGTTCGGGTCCTGGTCGCCGCCGGGTTTGGACTCGTCGTCGCCGCTGTCGCGGTCGTCGGCCGATTCGGTGGCAGGTGGACTGGGCGGGATCATGCCTGAGGGGGGGGGGGCAAAAGAAAATTGAAATATTAATACAAACGTTTTTCACTTTCTCCGAGTAGAAGACGATGTCCAATCGCGAGTTAACAGTATGTTGTCTTATGGGCAGCAACCACCATACCACCAGCCGCTGGCTATAAGATTAGCCAACAGTTGGATACTTAGTTAAGATGACACGCCGAACGTCCCAATAAAACTCGATTAAAAACGAGTGAACGATATGTTGTTATAAGAGGATACGTTTGTGTTTAGATATTTATCGAAACGAGTAACTAAATGTCGAGTAAACAAACAAATCGACTGGACGAGTGGTTACTTTCGAGTAAACGAGTAAAAAAACAAAAGAGCGAACGATTACGACAATAAATTTAATGTATTTGAGTAAACAAATCGAGTAAACGAATAAAGAAATCTAGTGAATTAACAAAAACTAGAGTTAACGAGTACACCAATAAAGTAAAAAGAGAAAGGTAAGATAGATGGGCGTGGCAGTAAACGAGTAATGAAATCTAGTAAATGAGTAAAGAAACGAGAGTAAACAAATCTGGTAAATAAATCGACTGAACGAGTAGTTAAATCGAGTAAATGAGTAAACAAATCTAGTAAATGCGTAAAAAAATAGAGTTAACGAGTACACCAATAAAGTAAATATCTGGCGTAAACGAGTAATTAAATCGAGTAAATAAATCGAGTAAATGAGTAAAATCGAAATCGAGTAAACGCGTAAAAAAATTAATAATTCGAGAAAGTGAGAACAAATAGAGCGAACGAGTAAACAAAATTAGTAGACGAGTAAACAAGAAAGAATACATTTTATAATCAGGTAAATTTAGGATATTTTTAATGAAATGAGTAAATAAATTAAGTAAATTAGTAAAAAAAAGGTCTAGTAAATGAGTAAATAAATAAAGTGAACGAGTACGCCAATAAAGTAAATAGCTGGCATAATCGAGTAATTAAATCTAGTAAAGAAACCGAGTAAAAAAAGTAAATAATTCTAGAAAGCGAGTGAACAAATAGTGCCAACAAGTACACAAATCTAGTAAATCAATCGAGTAAACAAATTTAGTAGACGAGTAAGTAAATAGAAGAAATCAGAAACATTACATTTTATAATAAGGTAAATTTAGGGTATTTAATGAAACAGTCAAGTAAAAAAATCGAGTAAATGACTAAATAAACAGAGTGAAAGAGTTCACGGATCTAGTAAATTACTCAAGTAAATGAGTAAACGAACCGAGTAAGCGAGTACACAAATCTAGGAAATCAATCGAGTAACTGAACTAGTAAACGAGTAAATAAACAGAGGGGAAACAAGAAAAGATACATTTTATAAACAGGTAAATTTAGGATATTTTATGAAACAAGTAAATAAACCGAGTAAATGAGTAAAAAAATAAAGTGAACGAGTACAAAAATCTAGTAAACGGGTAAATAATAAATTGAATAATTGGTAAAACAATACATTTTTATGAGCAGGTAAATTTAAGACATTCATTGAAACAAGTAAACAGTAAACAGTCGTTTAATGTCGGAAACTTTCACGAGTTATGGAAGAAATCGCCCATGGACTTACTTTGATACCAGTCTCGGTTTTCTTCGAGTGTGTCCAGTATGTCTTGGGCGTCGGGATGCACCAGATCGGCCCAAGTTTCCCAGAGAGGATGTACAATGTAGTCGATGAATCCCACCTGCGATGAAAACGTAACGAATGTGAAATAAAAAACAAGTGTTCGGTATTTAATTTCCATCGTCCATACTTGTGACTTCTCAATTGTGGCGCTGTGTCTGTCGCACATCGGACTGATGTCCAAGTTTTGTTCTCGCTCTTTGTCACCCTGTTGGAAGAACTCTTCCATCAGAAGGTCCACCCATCTCTTGTAGAGTTCCAGCGGTTTGGTGGGATTACTCAAATCCGCGCAGTGCACTAAATTCTGTAAGACCTAAATGACATACACACAAAAAAAAAAAAATAATAATACAAAATTATTCATATTATAATACACAATACGCGGTGTCTCAAAAGTAATGGTGGGGTTTCAAACGGCTGTGAAATAATTGAACCTACAGCGCTCCGGTAGGGCTACCTACAGCCGTTTGAAACCCCACCATTCTTTTTGATACACCCTGTATTGTAGGCGACGACTAGGCCCCGTACTTGTATCCTGTCTGTATAATTGTCCAACAACAGTACACCCGAACCGGCCACTTTTTTCGTTTCCACCATGGTTTTTAGGTCGGCCAACAGACTCATGTGTTTGGACATATCGGTGGATAGCACCTGTGAATTAAAAAAATTCTCATAATATTCCAACGAACAACAAAACGTTGATGTCAATATTCGATTGGCGTACCATGTCGATAACCATTTTCCGGAGCGTCTGCCTTTGTTTTTTGCTGACATTTTGGAATATGTCGCATCCTTCGTTTTGCAAAAGCTTAAAGGCCACGGCCAGATGATGGTTTTCCAGTACAGACTCGTCGTTGTACATGAGCGCCAATTCGGAACCTGAGATTGCAACATAGCCGTCTTAGGTTAATTATATTACTAATGGGAGGGTAATGAGGTTAGATACTGACTTGAGTTGATGAGAAACTGATTGGTCAGCCCGGGATGGTCGACGTCGTGTATGGCGGCGGCGAAGAGGGCAGCCGTGATCTCCAGAGGCGTAAACACGCTCTAAGAAAGTGGATAAAAAACCAGGTAAGTACCATTCTAATGTGCAGGGTGGTGTTTAAAAAAAGAACGGTGGGGTTTCAAACGGCCGTGGATTGTGACGTATTGGACCTACAGCGCTCTGGCGGGGCTCGGACGAAAGAGGCAGTTGTCAAGTATCGAATGACTGCCACTGGATGTCTCTGTCATTCATGAAACTTGACAACTGTCTCTTTCATTCAAGCCCTACCAGAGCGCTGTAGGTGCAATAACTGACAACCCACAGCCGTTTGAAACCCCAGCATTCTTTTTGGGACACCCTCTATTGTGTTATTTTCTTCGAGCTGATCGTGTGTTACCTCCAGCGCAGGCGAGTTCAACAGAACGTTGGTGGACTGGACAACGTCTGCGGCGTGCGTGCTGTTGTGGAAAGGATTGTCTTTGGCGTAATGGTCCTCTAGGGTCATCATGAACGTCACGAACGTCTTGGCCGGTATCATGAACGTCTTGAGGAGTTCTCGGTTCTGGAAAACGGTGTACGCGATTGCGGTCAAAGGTCGGTTGTTGGTCAGGTCTGATATCCGGAATATGTCGATGCCCCATTTGTCGATTTCGGCCAACGTCTATACGACAAACACAAGGGGTTAGCTGCTGTTAAACGGAAGGAAGGGCACGAGCTGCTAAGGTGGCGGTGGTGTACTCACGGATCCGAGCTCTTCTTCCTTGACTGTGTCCACACCGAACTTGGGTAGTCTTTCTCCGGCAAAGCTGTTAGTGTGCGACAATGCCCGTTTCACACCGGAAATGTGTGACATGGGCGTTACTTTGGACTTGACCACGTTGTCTTTTTTCTTGGACTGCGACCCCGCCGGCTGAGAACTGCTGGCCGGCCCCGCAGAAGAAGAAGAACACGACGACGCGGCCGCCGCCGCCAACGCTTTAGCCTGCCGGGCCTCGTCCTGCTGGAGGTCTTCCTGGCGAAGCGACGGGATATCCAGCTCCTGTTGTTTGTCTGCAAGACAGTTATTCAAAGGGTATTACACGGTTTTAAGCAATTTGACGGTAAGAGTAAATCCGGCACTGAATCCACAGCCAACTCGTTTATAATAACATACAGGTGTCTCAAAAAGAATGGTGGGGTTTCAAACGGCTGTAGGTTGTGAATACAGCGCTCTGGTAGATCTTGAATGAAAAAGAGAGTTGTCAAGTTTCGAATAATTGCCACTAGATGTCTCTGCCACGTTCCCGTTTGTGTCGCCAGCCTTCATTGTCCAATGGCAGAGACATCTAGTGGCAGTCATTCGAAACTTGACAACTCCCTCTTTTGTTCAAGTCCTACCAGAGCGCCGTAGGTCCAATACTTAACAACCTACAGCCGTTTAAAACCCCGCTCATTCTTTTTGAAACACCCTGTATTATCACAATACTGCTATTGTAAATCTATTGTCCACGGTATAGTAGATCCGACCAACGGCATCAAAGTACTTACCGAGAAAAGTAGAGCATATATATTCGGATATTTGATTTCCAGATTTGCTTGACTCGGAAAAGTGACTCAGCTCTTTGTTAAGCATTCGTTTGAACTGAAACACAAACAAAATACACACGGTTAGCGAGCTTGCTAAGAAAATAATACTATAATAATATCAAAGAGAACTTCTGTTAGGATTTCTATTTCAACGAATTACCAGAGTAGCGGGGCAATAGAACCTTTTGAATGCGTTAAAAGGCTTTTAACTAAGAACAATTAACCGTTTATTGTATCATGTTTTAGATCAAGTATTTCAAACGTATCAGCTTGTCCAATTTTAATACTATCGTTAATTACCCAAACCTTTGATCATTGAATAATATAGATGCCCTCCACGAGACTAATGGCCAAAGCTATCATAATATATTTTCTACTTCAGTTATTGTTTTGTTCAATATTAGTTAAATATAAACAGTGTTTGTTAATACATTACCTTTGACGAAGCCATATCTGAAACAGATCTGTGCGTCTGGATGGTTTCCAACTGATCCAAACACCAGTCCAATTCCTCAATTGTTTCAATCGACATTTTGAGGTATGCGTCATCTAGAACACAAATGAATTCATACCGTATTAAGACATTTGCAGAGTTGGCTACTCGGATGACTTGATCCACAGAATAAGATATTATGTATACATTGTTAACGTCTTGGGAAGAAAGGGCAAATAATAACCCTCTTGTGTGATGAAGAGTGGCATGGCATGTCCAAGGAGCAGAGTTTTCTGAGCAAAGACAAGTGCAAAAAGAAGGCTAAAAATATAGCGATGGGTGTATTTGCGATTGTGGTCTGTCAAAGCAGTGGTTAAGTTGTATTTTTTTTTTAATGAGAAAAATAATTAAACTGTATACTCAAAGACGGTTTATAACAAGTTTTTTAAAAAATGTATACATCGACAATAAGTACAAGAAATAATCTTTATAAAGAAAAAAAACAAGTGTACGAGTAATTTATTATGACGTGCATTGGTTAGGTTTATTATACGTCATAAGTACATACACTAATGTTATAGATTTCAAGTAGACACTTTAGTTAAAAAAAAAAATACATATTATTATTATTATTATTAAATACTTCAATGCAGAGAAGTAAAACATGAAATGTTTAATTATGTTTTAGGTATATATCTAAATGAAGATAAACCTAACCGATTGCTTGACAAGGCAAAGCAGCATCAGAAACCAACAAAGTCTACATATGCTGACTTGGCAAAAGCGTTTCTTTTTTTTTTCAATGATCTTAGCTTTTGTGTTTTGAATTTATCTAACCGGTCGACAACGATTATTATTATACATTGGATTACCTTCGCGATTGTATTTTATTTAGCGCGGACGACATAAACATTATAATATATATATATGAATTAATATTGCAAATGAGGTCACCCTCTCGTACAATGCGAACAGTCTGGATAAGGAGAAGGTATATACTTACACGCGCTGAAGGTCGGGACACAATTAAGAAGTCTGCGTGCGAAAATACTCAAGTACAATTCAAATTTCATAATATACAGGGTGTTCAAATTATCATGGTATGATTTATTTGATGATCTATACTAAAGTGTTGAAAAAACTTGACTCGGGTGAAACATTGAAACTGCAGTTATCAATCTTCTTATCACTAGTTCGTTATCATAGTGATATTTTTTTTCAAGATAACAACGTTGTGATAACAGTTTTCTTTTAACAATAAATTTAAAATTCGTTTTTTTTTGTTATAGTTATAGTAATTAAACATTAAAAATATTGTATCCTATGTGTTTTCGGTTTTAGTTTTTTGGGGTTTTTGGGATTCTTTGCTTTGTATATTGCCAATTACAGTAACCAACACTAGTCAACAGCAACAATAGTTATTATTCTGACAAGTCAAGTAGAGTAACCAACGAGTAACTTCACTTTGGAGAGTAAAGTAAGTAGTTATGCCTTCTATATATTTTTACTTTTGCAAGTAGTACATTGAATTATAATTAAACTATTTTAAATTTATTAAAAAAAAAATGGAACGTTTTAGTCCACAAAATCAATAGGCACATGCTATTTTAGTGTCTCTTGTACAGTTTAAGTTTTGAGGGGTAGATTATGGTATACCATTGTAATATTTATTATTTTATTAAAATAACATACACCGTTTATGATAATTTCGCTAATAATCATTAACGTTATCTCGTATAGTATTAACATATTATTACAATGTTATAGCACCTACCATTATTAATTAATAAAAACCGTGTGAAACATTCGATAGAGTTTTTATATTTCTCTGTTCAGTCAGAAGCCTGATTTCTATGTTTATGTGTACTATTATGTCCTCACCTCCGTGAAAACTCCAAATTTAAATTCGAACACACTGTATATAATAATAAGTATCATATCATTATTGCTATAATTTGCATTCGAGTGGACTGTTAAAAACGGAGCTGATAAACAAAAAAAAATTGCAATACCATAAAGAAGGTTCTGACTTAATATATTGTATAGAAGTTACCGTATAATTTGTACTTGTCTAAAATAAAATAATACATTTATTTCCATATACAGCTAACTAATTAAATTTGGCAAAATAAAACCGTGTTAATTATGTTAAGTAAAGCGATTACTATTTATTTGATTATTGGGTTAGCTTAATGGAAAAATTAGGCCAACGTTAAAAAAAAATAATGTATTCAATATATTATAATATTATTATGTTAAAAAACCAGATTGGTGGTTAGGTTGGAAATGTGGATTTTTTTTTCCAGACGGTTCAATTTGAATACAATGCAAACTCGGTTTTTCCAATGTGCAATTCCTAAGAAACGCGTTTCTCTAACAAGTCGAATGGAGCAAAATGTTGTATGCAGAAGGGCGATCAATAAAATATACACACCCATCTCGGAAAGGAGAGACGGTACGTTTCTTTATTATTTTTTTTTATTATTTATTCCCAGTTTGGTATGTAATTTTCCTGCGACATCTCGTCGTCAAACACTACCTTAAGATTGAACAAGGATTGGTAAATATCGTAAGTATTTTTTTACCTTTCTCAATTTAACTTATAAGGAGTATTGACTTGGGTTTTTTTTTGTTAAAAAATGGGAAATTTTTGTTTAATGTAAGCCACTAAATAATATCAAACTAATTTGTACTTTGCCAGTTAGTGTAAGCCACAGCTTAACCCTACAGTACTTTAAGTAAATATACAATTTTAGTGGTGTAGTTTTTGTTTAAGCCTCTTTACAAAACTTCATCAATTTTCATTGATTTTAATTACATAATGTTCAAATTAAAAAAAAACTTTTGTGTAAATTAATATTTAAACTGAAGTTATCAATCTTCTTATCACTAGTTCGTTATCATAGTGATATTTTTATTCAAGATAACAACGTTGTGATAACAGTTTTCTTTTAACAATACATTTAAAACTCGTTTTTTTTTGTTATAGTTATAGTAATTAAACATTAAAAATATTGTATCCTATGTGTTTTCGGTTTTAGTTTTTTGGGGTTTTTGGGATTCTTTGCTTTGTATATTGCCAATTACAGTAACCAACACTAGTCAACAGCAACAATAGTTATTATTCTGACAAGTCAAGTAGAGTAACCAACGAGTAACTTCACTTTGGAGAGTAAAGTAAGTAGTTATGCCTTCTATATATTTTTACTTTTGCAAGTAGTACATTGAATTATAATTAAACTATTTTAAATTTATTAAAAAAAAAATGGAACGTTTTAGTCCACAAAATCAATAGGCACATGCTATTTTAGTGTCTGCTGTAAAATTTAAGTTTTGAGGGGTAGGTTAGGTATACTATTGTAATATTTATTCATTTATTAAAATAACATACACCGTTCATGATAATTTCGCTAATAACCATTATCAAGTATAGTTATCAACATATTATTATTACTATATGTTATAGCACCAACCATTATTAATTAATAAAAACCGTGACCTTTATTCAGTTAACGACCTGTTATTGGCGAACAAAGTATAATTCGGCCAACGAGTAATAGAATTATTTGCGACAAACTTGATTTCTTAAAAAAAAAAAAAAAATGTATTGCCAATGTTATTATCGTTTTCGATTGAACTATAATTGGTTTTTTATCTATATTATGTACATTGTACACACACAGTGGTAGTACGTCATACAGTTTACACTATAGTTGTTGTTAACCGTGTTGCCATATATTTTATTAATGCGAATAAGTACAATAATATTACCATAGTTGTAAAGTGAATAAACTCATAACAATAGAATTGTTTCAGATGGGAAACAGTTAAAAAAAATGCTAGATTATGCCATATATATAAAAAAATTGACTTGTTTTTTTAAACTATTCTTAAAAAGCGACGATTTACTTGTAAACTATGTTTTCGATTAGCTATACTGTTATGCTATTATATTGTGTTGTTTACATAAAAATTCGATACTTAAAAAGTTGTTTGTGTGTTTTGGCTCATGTTTGTTGCCAAAAGTAAACACAATCATGCTTGCAGTGTAAATAAACATAATATTATTATGTTGCTGTGTAAAAGTTATTTTATATCTTGTATATTATACCCGAGACGGTTCTTGATTTTTAATTACAGTTTTTATCGTTTACTACAATAAATACAAGTAAACCAGAAGTAAGACCAAAAACACAACAAGTCCTTGAGCAGTTAAATGATTGATCATTTTCAAAAGATACAAACACCGTCCACATGAGTGGCAAAAAATCACTCTAAAAAACATTTAAATAATCGAGTTAGTCCACCATCAACACGGCTCAGTCGACTTGTTTCGTTGGAGATAATAATCTAATTTCGGATTTCATCTCTTTGCTGGTGTACCCAAGTCCTAACGATCAGCCATGTTGGCTTTAGGGGCTGCCTGAGGTAATCGAATAACATACAAGACCGTTTTTAATGAACTTAAACGTCGGCGGATACAATCAAAATGGAATTTCGAAGCCGAGCCGGTAAGTAAAGGTCGCTTTATTGATCCGCCAAAGGAGTTTCTCGGATTATGTCAACCCAGACGGTGGTGCTTCTTAAGTCAGACTCTTTGGTCGACATGGGGAAATCGTTAGAACGCGGTCGGTTTAATCTCCCTTATTATCTTTAATTGTCTCCCTTTGACAATATTCTGTGGCAATACCAGTGGATGGCTACAGTAGAATAGTATCTTGGAAAAAAAACACAAAAATAATAAGTGGTAAAAACGTTTTTTCGTGTGGCCACACTGGTTTTCGTCCTACTGTTAACTTCACTATCGCGTACAAGCTAGTAAGTGTATATGTTAGTTTGAATTTTTAGCTACATTTTAGTTAGGTCTTGTTCAATTGAAACGCCAGCTAAATCCTCTCTTCACAGCTACCTTTTAATCCTTCTACATCAATCTCTCTTCTTCTCTCACCTCATTACCCGTTTGCTTCCCCTCTTGTACACATTCATTTGGAATTCTTCCTTTTTCTTTCTAGCTGCTCTACCGGAAACTAATGTGACTAAGAAAAAAAAACGATTAAGGTCTAGGGGTCGAGTGCTCTTCCAGTCAAATGGTTTGTTTAACCTTTTTGGTTTTTTTTTTTTTGAATAGCAGAAATTCTCTAGGAATAAAATAGTCCCGGGGGAAATAAGCCGGTACAGCGTTTTGGCAAAAGTTTAAAGAAATCTTGGAAGCTACTTAGAAAAAAAAACATGTAATAAAAACTATTACCGAGATGTGTATTATGAGATCGAATGAAAATATTATCATACTTGTAGACATAACTGATGAAACTAAAAAAAAATATATATATATATATACAATTCTAAGTGCAAAACCCAAATTGTTTTCCATAAACGCAAACAAGTTCTGATTTTCATATGATGTGTACATATTTTATTCTTATAAATTGGCTAGTAAGAATGTTTAAAAAAAAATATATTTAACCGTTGCTTTATATGCTGTTTAAATACAACACCGTTTCCACCGGTCGAAATCCATAAAAAAAATTATTTAACAAAATAACTATGTAATTAGTTGTTTTTTTTTTTTTAAAGAAAGTCTCCTTTGATGTTAATTTATTCTAATAGCGAGTTCCGACCGAGCCAAAGCCGCTTTTGCCAATGATTAGTTCGGTTAGCAGCGGCTGATGTTAATAATATATGGTTAGCTTTTCAATAGAATACCTATGTACAAAACGATTATCAAAGATGATGGCTTAAGGCAATATCGTTTATTATTATTGCAATAATAACTGTAATGATAATATGTAATACAAGTCTGAGCGCGTTGGTTTATCGTTGTGCAAATACTCTTTCAAGTCAAGTGGGTGTGGCGTAGGTTTAAGCAAATAATATGTATATATTATTAACGTGATCATGTACACGATTAATTTAAATTGAATCTACGTATAAGATTTCAAAGTAAACCATCACCCCCAGTCGATGACTAAATAGAGTCGAGTAGGAGGTAGGTAGAGGAAACCGAAGCAAATATAGTAATTATATTGATTATCTCTTTGGAATATGTTTTTATTTTTAACAAAATTGTAAAAACGACCGGGCAAATTGCTTGTAATACAACACTACGCCCTTGGAAAATTCCAAAAGTCTTACCAAATACACGGTTTGTTAATCCCCTCTAATGCGTAGGCTCAATACGCGGTTAATGACCTAAGCCGAACGCGGCTCGACCGAAATCTGCAAACTTTTTTGATTAAAATTATCATCGTTGTTAATTTATAACAGCGAACAAGTAGTAAGTATTAAAGGTGTCTTGAGATAAAAAGTAAAAAACACTCAAAAGGCGATTGGGGACTCAGGTGTTGTGAATTGAGGAGAAACGTCGCTGATATGTTCTTATTTGATTTATCAAATGGTGATATTGATTCCCCTGAACTCCTGTGTATCTAAGATTGGACTCAAGGCACCAAATTTCGCATATTTTCCCCGAAGATAAGATTAAGATTTGTTAGCTAACCTTGTTGCCAAAAAAAATTCGATTTCTTTTTTCCTTTAGACAATGTTTATATTGTTTAAGTCAATTAGCTATTTGATTTTGGTTTTAGTATGTTTCGAATTGTGTATTATAATCTCATTACTTGTTATTTTTCCACTCTGTTCAATCACTTATTACTCGTTATACTTGAACTGTATTTTTTTTTCCAAAAGGTTCTTATACCCGCCTACAGTAAAAAAAAAAATTGTTTTTTGGTTCTGGAGAGTACATTAAGATAATTGTTTTCATATTTATTGTATTTATTTTATTGATATATTTGTACACAACGACGGGATTGGAGTTCTCCCGTTGCTGTTGAAACTTGAACGGATATAACCGAAAAGGTTCTTTCCGTTTCGATAGGCATCACATAAAAAAAAAAAAGAAGCGAAGTAGAAAGAGTAAACAAATAACAATAGATTCGAAGTCGAAAATCAATATTTTTTGTTTGTACTTGGATTGTATTCAATAAAATTGGAAATTATAAAGAATTAACGCCTTGTTGTTACCGTCTACAGGTATTGTGAAAAGTTTTGAGACCTTTAGGTAAGCACAAAATTCTTACTTTATAAAAGTTTTAACCTATTCTTTTGCATTATTTTTGGTCTTAATATAAAGCAAACGCGTTTGGCCATAAATTACAATAGACAAATGGCCATTTTCAAAGAATACAATATTGTCAATGTCAACTCTAACCAATATAATATTAACCACAGCCAAGTTTGGGGCAACATCCCTTCTTTCAGCTTCAACCCCTATGTGCTGAATGTATGTATGTAATAATTGGCATTCAGATTACAAACTATACAAGTGAAACAGAACTAAAGCCCGACAAGCTTGGAACAGGAATCCTTATAGTGTATTATAATGGCGAGGATATAATATCATAACATGTATGGCGACGTAGAAGCCAACTAGTGGAATATTATAATGATTTGGGCGGTCTAAAATTATAATGGTATGCATAAATTTAACAATTATTATTATTATTCTACAACGATAAACTGTTGTGTGTATTAGTGGTGTTGTAGTAGAATTGCGCGCATATATTGAACTGGGGTTAATTAAAATATCTATTTTAGAGTCGTTTTTTATCTGTTAAACCTCGCACATACATATGTGTTATAATAATAATTGAACATAAAATAATAATAGTGTATGCAGTACAAAGATGTCAAATACACGTGTGGTGTGGGCACATCGACCAAACAGTTTAATAATAATATATAACATGTAATATGCAAAAGTATAAGACTGTTGAACGTATGTAGGCAGGTAGATCAATAGCATTTGCGTTTATTATAAATGGTAGCGCACAATAACAGTATAAAAATATCATTTTAATTGTTATATAATAATGATAAAATTATATTTAAGCGTCATACGAATCTCAAGAAAAGATAACCGATTGGGCAATTTCGTTTGTCTCCGAGTTAACACTCGGATAGATAATAATTAACAACAGTTTCGAGTATTTTTTATTTCACGCATGAATTATATAATTTATTTCGAAGTAATAACGGTCTAGGTCGGTTGTTAAAAGTTTCATTTCGGCTCGCAACAAACGCTAATATTTTACACTTGAAAAACTTCCATCAGAACTCATTATTTTCCAACTACACGGTTGTTCTCGACAATAGTAACTCAAATGCTTATTAAAACCGTCCGACTTGTTGAGAGCAACAATAAAGCAGTGAATTCCCACTCAAAACGCAAATTGATACACTTTAGTTAGTGTACCAAAGTGGAAGCGAATAAACAATATAAATGCCACGAACAGGTTGGTTTGGACAGCAGCATGCTTCATCGATAAGGAAAATAATTGAGGAAAACCCAGTAGTGGGTAGGAGACGTCTTGGGAGACTGCGTTAAAAGAGAGATGCAGAGCCAGTGGAATCAAATAGTCATTGACAGGAAATAGCATATAGGATAGAGATACATGGCAGTGTGTTTATATTTTAGAGGTATGGTTTCGATTGGCCATAATAATGAGAGGAGGAATCAAATGGGAAACCTGCAAGACCGTTGCATTGGGAATCGTTGGGAATTTGCATGCCTAACTTGTTTGTACTCAACCGTCAGCTGTGCGAGTCGGTTGTCTGTATGATATATTAAAAACGCACTTTTCTATGTATCAAGTTACATTGACTTCTTAACCAAGATTCGGAATGGAGTGCATAAAATCATTGTGCCGTCTGTGAACTTTGGGTATTTAAGGCAAATCGGCTAAACCGAACAACTGAGCGCAATAAACGAGGTCTCGCCCTTGCCATTACGTGCAAGGACACCGGCACGAACAGCGTTTTATTAGTATTCCACACAAGTCATGATAGTCGTTTGGATTGTCTGAACCACGAGATACTTACAGCTGACAATGACGTTGGCGGTTTGCCCTTTAGGTTTCCGGCGAGCACGTCGGTCTCATCGCCTCGAAATTACCGAAAAATGAATTTGCAATTTCACCAACAACGCTTTGGCCGAACACCGTTTTCCAACACCGCCGGCCGCCGGTCTCTTTCGGTGGTTTTTGCGACATAACGATTGGAAGGGGGGCCAGTGACGGGAACAAAAATTAATAAAAAAAGATAGGTAATGTAATTTATACTTTATTATTTCACTGTGGACACGGCGGATGTATCCGGTCGATTAGTAACAAAACATAAAACGTGGTCTCTGCAACAGTGAAGACGAGCGAATGGGCGGCGGCGGTAGTCAGCCTAATGAAATTAGCAGCACCCGTTCAAGTGGTCCGGTTATCTGCGCAAAACCCACAGAGATAACGTTGCCGCTATCAGCAGCACCACTCGAACCTACCTGTTTGGAGTCGCAATCGACAGTGACAATATGAGCAGAGATATGCAAAAGTATAACCACCTGAAGACGTACAATTTTGCAGAGGTGCAGCGTTTGTGGCAACTGTCGAAACAATGGCCACAAAAACGAAAGATTGTCTTGGGGGAAAAAACTGATTGATACGACCTGTGTTTTTAAAACAGTCGACTGGAAAATAAATCGGTTACCAGCAAACAAAACAACCCGCGCCCCTAAACAAATATAAACCGCAATCGATACAAGTCGGGTCAACGATACAACACAACCCCGTATGGCCGTATTTATACTACCCGATAGACAGCCGTACTAAGTACTGAAGGGGGAAAAAAATAACTCAAAAATATATTTTCTACTTACCTCCGGGGTTGACGACTCTGTTTTGCGGTGTGTTGTTGCCCGCAGTTCCGGATGATCTCCGAGATCTGCAAAAATATATACATTTACATATAAATAATAACGACACTGCCATTATATATATATTCCGTTAGTAATTTATATTGGTTAGGTTATTTTTCGATTATTATTATTATTAATATTTATCGCCATTGTACAGCTGAATGAATATAGATATGCACCACCGTGTGTCTGGTAAAATATTATAAAACGAGGGTGCGTCATTAATCACACACGGCGCAAACGAGAGAATATAATAATTTAACGTTGAACAAAAAAAAAAAAGGGAAAATAATAAAAAAGCATAATGGATTAGGGTAAATTATTTTAGAGTATACACACCCCTGAAACAATATGAATTTAGAAAAATACCTAATAAACAAACACTTTTGAAAAAAGTTGTTGATTTTATTTTTTTTTAGTAAAATTAATAAGAAGGTAAATGACAGGTCATAAAAATTATAGCAGGAAATAATGAAAAATATGTTTCATAAAGTCATCTTTGGGGGGCAAACAATAGCTGATATAATATTCAGATCCATAAACAGGATTGCCTATTGGTTAGAATGTACACTTTTTAAAGCACACTGTGTTTGCAAAAAAATTCAGTATCGTCGAAGGACATATTGTTATAATTATTATTTTCAAAGTAATAAACTAATGAAAGGCAGATGAAAAGAAAGCCTTTTAATAACTTCCTGGGTAAAAAAAAAAAAAGAAAAAAGGAAACATCCCCTTTTTCTCTGCATCATCATCGTTACTATACGCAATCTTTTTAATTATTTTTCATTCTTTATCTGGGGTTTTTTTTTGCAACTTCCTCTTTTTATTTTTCACACAGTTTCATTTTTGTGTTGTAAGCTGAATATATTTATATATACAAAGGCTGGCGTACAGTGTTCTTTAATGATAATAAAAAAATATATTATCTTAAAACTTACTTTTGCGTGGGCACGTTGGTAAGGCTCAAGAAGTTGTTGCGTACACTTCGCAGGCTTGCCAATATTTGTGCGAACGGTGTTACAATGAGATCTTCGCCGTGGCTAAAAAAATAAACATAAAAAATAGCAATTAAATTATTATTACGATTGAATAATCAAGATTGAAAGAAAAAAAATGTTTCTAAGATATCCACTCTCAAAGCCAGCTGACTATAATAGGTACATTACACTTGGCAAGTCTCAAGTATGTAGTAAGTCTTTATTGCAACTGTCTTTTCAATACAATTTCTGTATTTTTCGAATATATTAAAAAGAAACGAGCCGATTACAAATAAAAAGACAATCTACAAAGAGCTTTGTACACAACGGTGATTTGGATTTTAAGCTGCTGCCTTTGTTTGGTTATTGATTTTTTTTTTTAAGTACACTATCTTTTTGAAACGCATCTTCAATCTTGTGTACGTTGAATTGGATCTCACAAAAAGAGTTCGGCTAAATTATTTAGAGTTCAGACAACAGCCAAAAAAACTGAGGTGTTTAAGCGAACAAGTTAAGATAAATCATGGTAAAAAAAACAACCAATTAAGATTTTATAATAATAATCATAGCACTCTAAAGCAGTTAGTAACCAGCCACATGCGAATCTGTTGAGTAGCTTTAACCTAAACAAATCTAAACGAAACTTAGTGGGATTATTTTGTTCGAGCCCGGAAAATTCCAAAAAAGCTTAACTGAGTCAGGTTTTTGAGAAAAATAAAAAAACACGGTTCTTCTGATAAAAATAAATTAATATCTTGGCTTATTAAGGCACCAGTCCAGCTGCAAGCGTGTCCCTAGTGTACATTAATCCAATTAAGTCCAATAAAACGGTTTTTTTACTTTTATAAATACCGAGTTTTTGGTAAACGGTCTGCTCTTTTTTTTTGGGGGGGGGGGGGGGTTTTGGTTATTTTTCCAACACGGTATCGAGGTCATGCCAGACTTAAGTTCTTAATAGAAACCGGTGTAATAGTGCATGTGTTGTTATATGTGCTATAATAGCCACCGGTTAAGTTTACCAATAACGGTGGTAGGTGCTCAGCGCCATGTGATATGGGTCAGTGATAGGTTTCAATTAGAAGACAATGGGAAATGGAAAATAAAAGTTTCCATTTGCGACCCGAGAAATGGGAAATGGAAAAACTTTTGGCACATAAGGCGATCCGCGCTTACGGCTAAGACGAGTGTAGTCAGTTTATATGAGTGTACTAGGTACAGAGTGCGGCAAGTTGTCTTTGTCACACATTCTATTTACTTTTTCCTTACCCAACCATCACCCTCTGAGTGTTTTTATAAGACTCAAGGAAACGGTTTACCGTAGCCGGAAACGCCAAAGTCCGACGTTATGCGTTTCCGGTTGACAACATACACAAGTTTTTTGTTGTCTTTTTTTTTGGAAAGAAAAAAACGCCACACTAACATAGCTAATCGATAATATCGATCAGTCGCCAAATAAACAACAAATAAAGGTTGTGCTCAATAATAATACTTGGGTCGTAACAACCCCCTTTGTAAAGCGCCTCCATGACTTTGCAAGTGTATATACATAGTATTATTATATATTATGATTCTTCCTAGTGGTAGATACAAGTGGGGGAAATACTTAAAAGGAAGGACTAACTAAATTGATTTTGAAATTGGATTGCAACAGTTCAACGCCGAAGGGGTGGTTTTCTTATTCGGGTAAAACATTACACAAGGGTATTATTATTGTGATTATTCTAATATATTATATTACTATGAAGACAATATACACACATTATAAACGCCCACGTGAAAACGAATGGACTTGAAGGGATAAGTTTAAAAAACTTTTCGCAGAACCATAATAAAAAAAGATACCGCTACCTACGCTTGAGTCGTAAAAAAATAAATACAAAACGTTTTATATAGTCTCTATTTTATTTTTGTACATTCAGTCTTAGGAGACAAATGTTTATAAACATACCCATTTTGTTTTGGTCGTTACAAAAAAAACGTTGAGAGTAACAACATAAATATTATAAGGAAAAGAAAATATATTATTGATGTCGTCTGGAATTGGTCAAATACAATATAAGCTTTAAAACTAATGCTTATTGTACAAGAAATACAACTTTTCTCTCTAAAACAATTGCGACACTTTTTTTTGGACAAGGGCTCAATTCGACTTGTTTTCTTCAAAATGCGTTTTTACTTATAAAAATATATTTTTATTTTATTTCATATTGGCCCAGTATACATACCGGAACATATACTGTAATAAGAAAACATCATTTTATTTTACTACCTATTTAAAGAGTCTAATGAGTGTTATTTTATAAACCAAAGTACATCTGTGATTGTAAAAGTCTTATAAAGCAAAACATCACATTATGATAACTACTTTTAAACGTTGCAATATTCTCAAAGTTAATATTGTTTTCTATAGTTTTAAGCATGTTACTATAATATTGTGCATGATATTGAATGAAAATGTTACATTTCATACACAGAACAAGTGTTTTGTTTTTTTCAACTAATATTATAAACTTTCAATTTTAAAATGTCCGAGGGCAAAGGCCCGATTTTGCAACTTTTAAAAAAATTCCTTAGGCTAAATTAAAATTAAATATTCATATTTTACAAATTAAATCAACCCATAAAATGGTAAATTAAATTATAGTTTTCCTAAAAAAAATGCACCTACATAGAATAGTAGTTTTTTGTATCTCCTGAATAAACCAAAGTAAAAAAGTCCTTTTAAACATATTTTTTATTCACTAACAAATATATATAATAACTATTTAATGGTTTTAATTAAAGTTTTTTTTTTGTATTTACCGTACCGGTTGGGGTAAAAAATACTAAAGATAAACAAACCAAGGGAAAATATTTGTTTACAATTAAGGCCGATTGTTATTTTTCAAAGCTCACTAATAATATTTTAACGTTTTTTTACTGTCGACTTAGGCGATTGTTTTTTTTTTTAGTGTGGCCAACAATATCGTAGTCGAATCGACTAGTTTAATTAACTAATCAATTTCGGCAAAACCGTGTAATTTCGTTTGCAGCGCAATTTTTCGTTACACAATTATTTTATTTTATTTCAAACAACATGTTTTCTACTTTATTCGTACACAAACAAAACGGTGACAGTGAGTAAACGGCTTTAATAAATTATCGTCCATTGTTCTTTCGTTTTGCTTTTTTTCCTCGGTCGCAAAATAATAATAATAAAAATAAATAAATGCCCCAAAAAAGTTATACAACACACAAACAATTTGTTAGAACGTTGAGTGCTCTGTGGTTGTATTTTGCTGTAGTTGTTCTCAATCCCTGTGACATCTTGCAACTAATATTGATGGAGAAGATTCACAACAATGTTTACACACAATCCCCGGTCTGTGTATCAAAGGAAATCCCATTGGGCGCTTTTTAATAGGGAAATCTTTCCAAATGTAATTAATTATTGTTTATACATTTCCAAAGGGACTGTACAAGTCCAAATGCTCGACTAGGTCTTTCCTAGGAATTCCTGTTATCCTTCTAAAGTTTATCAAGTCTGTTGTAAACTTTAACTGCTCCAAATATGTATGTCCCGAGGGTTGTTTCATGGCGTTATACCGAAATAGTAACTACCCCCGGGGGTAGTTAGTGCAGGGGTGAATAGGGATTAACACAGCTCTGGCCTACAACTCAAAGCCTGACCGCAACCACTAAGCATAGACCATACCTAATGGCAACTATTGTCTATTTATGCAAACAATCTTAACGTCGCACAATCTTAATATTGCAGCCAACAAACTCATCACATTTTGGTTGGACGATTAATTGTTAAGCACAAATAAATCTCAAACTAATTGACTTAACCCTTCTTTGGAATAATTTGCGGTACCGTTGTTGAATTTTCAGTATAAAAAAAAATAACCCAATTTCTATTTATAATAATTGGATTGTTCTTCTTGTAGTGTTTTTTATACATTAAACGTTTCTTCTCAAAAAACGATAAAATATAAAATTGTAAATCAAATTGTAAGCAATTAGTGTACACAAAAATACTTGTTCTAAATTATACTTTTACTCGATTAGGTGTAATTAATAATAATTGTAGCAAATTGTATGAAAAATATATTGTGACAGATCGACACTACTGGTTTCGACTTGAGGGTATCTACAGGCTACTTAAAAATATATATACATATATTATACAAATTAAAACTAGCATTGAAACTAGTAAGTAGTGGGCAACTCGAATTGTGTGTATTTTAATTAACAGTAGGTACGTCTTAATTACTATCAAGTTGAATTTAACATACTTAAGTGTTTTTTTATGTTTTAATTTAAAAACTACATGTATTTGTGAAACGCTTCCGGCAGACCGTCACATATTTTTCATACCTAGTACAGCTGATGTAATTAGTGTCTAACGAATAAGAAACGAGTAAGTAGTACAAGTAATGGATACCTATAAAATTATTTTTGATTTATTAAAGCTATATATTTTAGAAAGAAAAAAAAACTACTCATACCTAATTATTATTATTAATGGCTCCGAACCACGTCATGTGTTTGCATAAGTACTAATAGATCTTAAAAACAGTGTTCGACTTGGGTTTGGCTCCAAACTCCTAACCTATAACCGAGTGAGGTTAGGCAACCTACACACTAACCCCTGGCGATTTCTACATGTATTATAATATAAACGCTTAAACTACCTACACAAAAGAGAACAAAAAAAAAAACAGAGATACATACGTCGGGTTTTTCGGTGTGGATCGACCGAAAACAACCATAGATCCAAAACCAAAAAACGACCGGAAAACCTTGGCCAAGTCCGGACTGTGCTTGCGGTAGTTGTCAAGTGCGACTGACTAAGTTGGTAAAAAAAAAAAAAAAGGGAAAACAAAAACATCCGCCAAAAACGTACACGAATCCCATAAGCATTATGCGAGGGCACGTCGCTTGCCTCGTCGGAATGTCTAAGTTAATATATAGGTACACCACACATAATATACACATACCTATATATCATATTATATACATAATAATCAAGAAATGCTAAATTGTGTACATGCCCCGCCAATTGGGATGAAAAATGCAAG